CGGAGAAAAACTTCCCATGCGCGTCCACGTGGCAACTTTGGTTAATTGGTCTAAAGAAAAAAAAAATTAAAAAGGTTATGGATGTGATTTTTATGTGCATTTCAAAGACAACTGTGTGGTTTGGGGGAATAATTACTATTTAAGTGAAGTGCAAAAAATTACTCAAAAGAATATGCATGTTAGTGCCTAGATGTCATACTTACATTAAACAGTCATTAAACAGTTCGTTAAATTTAAACTGTATACTTTTTGTAAATACGCAAACATGAACTGCGATAAAAAGTGCAACCAAAAGAAGAAGAAGAAAAACATTTGAGACTTTGTAAGAACACAGTGAGAAGTCAGCCTTGGTGAGGCTTGGTGAAAATAAAGAGATGAGAGAGGGTCCAAACAGATAGATCACACACTCTGCCTCACGGCTCAGGCCTGTGTCTGACAAGAGGACAAAAATTTCTCTGAATTATTCAGAGTGGACAAGCACACATCTACTGGGCACTGCCCTAAAAAGAACATATCCAGAGAGCGGGAAAGTAAGCGAGAAGCAAGCAGGGGTTGGGAGGGAGAAAATGGGAAAGGGAGAGAGAGAAGCAGCAGTTTGATGAACGTCAGAAGAAAGGCAGTATTGCAGCAGCAGGCCGCCTGGGGCTAGTTGTGTAGGAGAACACAGAGGCACACAGCCGTTACAGAGCAGTCAATAACGACACAGCCTCTGACATTTACACAAACACCAAGACCCCGCCACTAGCGGCAAACAAACACCCCCAAAACACATACACACCGCCTTTAAAAGGAAGCCTACAGAAGCTCCTCACACGCCAAAGCAGAATGGGAAAGAAAAAGAGGACTCTGCGGACAAGAGTATGTAGAGACTCTTTGCAGAGGAGTGGATTTAAAGACGAGGCATGTAAGGAGATTGAGAGGTGTTGAAGATCCCTTTGCTTTACCGCTTTCTCTTATCATCAATCTCGTCCAGAGAAATTACCGAAAGCCCTGGTTTCATTTTTTATCTTACTTAAGAGGCGAGGGAGAGGGCAGCTGACAAATTACAGAAATATATAAATCACACATTAAAAAGTTCCAGAAAACTATTTGCAATCATTTTTTTAGTGGTGTGTGCGTGCTGGAGTGTGAGTGCTCCATTAGGGCATTTTGAGAGCAGTCTAATGTGGCTAATGTTCCCATCAGAGATACTCTAAGTGCTGTGCCATTCATTTCCCTTCCACCCCCTTGAGCGCAGCGGTCACAAGCCCTCCAAATGCTTCCCTTCGAGGAGTGGCCAGCGCCTTTTAGCCAGGCCCAAAAGATCGTCCGGCTGCGCGGGAAGAGCCAGTGCCGACCACCGACGCCCTCTCCCAAAGCTATGGGTCTACTAATTACCCCCATCTCAACACCAACAAACAACTTTTAAGACCTATTAGAGGGCAGTTGTCCGGGAAGGGGTTTTATATCCCATTAAAACCAGAAGATTAAATTGCTATTCACATAAATTCACCCGGCCTCATACCAGTAGGACTCGGATGCTAATAGCGTGTGGCCTATCGCTGCTAAACAGGCTACAGCAGGATGGCACCCTCCTGGAAAATAGCCTCGAGTGCGATCACATAAATAACCTCGGCTTTTCCGTTGAAGCCATTTCAGGTTTCAGTGGAATTCCTGTTCTCACGTCTCTCCCGACCTGTTTTTGTCTTTGCGCTCCACTCCCAGAATCCCCTCAGCATTTGCTATCTGGGTTTCTTTGTTGATCCTACCTTTCTCAGCTTTCGGTATACGGCTTGGAGGAGGGGGAGGGGGGGCGGGCAGGACGAACAGGCTGGATCTGCCGGGGCAAGAACTAGAGGTAATGTCAGCCAAGGCCAGAGAGAGCGAAACCCAGCAACCATGTCAAAGCCAACAAACACTCCCTATCTCATTCCCAAAGGAACTCTGTGACTCACTCTCCAGCAAGCCCCCGATTCGCTCCAAAACCTCTCAGCGTAGCCATAACATACATGCCTCAAATTTGGCGTAGAAACCACAGCGACTAATACCAGGGACGTGAGTGTTGGGGTGAAAAGGGATGAAGATGTAAAACTCAATACAACTTTTCTGGGCGCAAGGACACCAAACCCAACAGAACTCCGGCTGACCTGATACATCACACCACCCTCCTGACTGCCGCCCCAAGCTGTGTGACATGTCCACCGGGTCTGGGGAGAACATGTGACATTCATGCCTTTAAGAAGGAGCTCTCAGCACATCTATCAAGCTCAGCTGGGACACGAGGCCACACACAAACAGAGCACTGTTTCAAGAGCGGCCAAGGCAGTGCTGTTGCATTCCTCCCGACTGGCGCATGGCCGGCTGGTGAGAGTGCGGTCGGCCTCCAAAGCTGCCCCTCATCTCAATCGCTCGTACGCACCGGGTCTGTTCTCACTCACTCTCTCTCTCTCCCTGGAGACGTATGTTTTGCCGGCCTGGGCCGTAATACTGTAGCGTACGCATGTTCATTTAAAGCTTCTCATAAATACAGCTGAATTTATAATAAATCGGGTGACTAATGTGAAGCCAAATAGGAATTCCCTGTCAAGTACCCTTTTTCCAAACTTGTATGACTTCATATTATTCGGTGTAAAACAAGGCAGCTGAAGTGTCTTGGTGTTTTTTTTGTTCATACGATGAATGTCAATAGGATCCCGTGTTGTTTTGGACAACTTTGTGGACAAATACAATTGAAATTTTTAAAGTATCTGTTAAGTTCTGCAAAATATAGAAAGTCATACAGGTTTGGACAACATAAGGGTGGGTAAATTATGACAACATTTTTAGGTATGCCTTTAAATATAATTATTTAGGATTGCTAGTGTCCAGAGGGCAATGAAGTAGACCAGTATCTAAACCAGAAAGATTTCAATAAAGTATGTATAGAAGACCCTGGTGGAAAGATTGCCTCTGTCTATCACATTTCACATTAACCTTTGGGCTTGAAATCTGCAGCTTGAACTCTTTTTCAGTATCTTCATTTGGTGCTACAGAGGTGGAGTGTCCATCAGGGCTAAGGGCCAAGGCTATAGAGGTATATAAAAGTAAGCAAAATTCAGATGAGGGAGGGTGGGGGTGTGAAAATGATAATGAGACAGACATCAAAGATCAGACAAGGAAACAAACTGCTTCCACATGGTCATAAAACAATTTGAGCCATGAGTCAATACGCTGATAAGGCACATCAGATGCCTGTGGTGATGCAGCGAGGCAGAGGTGAATGGACAAGCACTTGTCTGTGTGTATGTGTGTGTGTGTGTACGCTTTACTCATGCGGGACAGAGCGCATGACTCAAAGCCACTCGGTCCTGCACTTTATCAGGATAAAAAATTCAGACTGACCCTTCTACTGCCCCCGTTTGCAAGCCACAGCCATTAGCAGAAAGAGAGAGAGAGAGGGAGAGGGAAGAAAGGAAAAAGAGAAAGACATTTAGGTTTTTGTGACACCAGAGCACTTCCCCCATAAGTCTGATATAGCAGTGATGGGTAAGATACTTTAGCATCTAAAGTTTAAAAGCTACTCAAAATTTTCAAAAGCCAATCTACTCTTAAAAAAAATAGTCAGCTTCTCTTGAAAAAATCTAAAATATCTCAACAAAACTATAATATACAATAGATTATACATGTATACAATACATCATATATATATATCTGTCATGATAACTCTCAGAGAGATTGGCACGGTAACAGAAAATGGCATGGTAATGGATATAGCAATGTCAATGTACTTGATCTATTGATAACAGATCTGCTACGCTGCTTCAGAGCAAGTACGGAGACTTGCTACTCTGAATACTAACAGACATTGATGTGAGCATGTAAGACATGCTGTGGCTGCTGCACATGTGAGATACATGAAATAACCCTCATAGTAGATCTACACAGGTGGAGCTGGAGAAGGTGGAGGGTTTCTAAAAGTAGGCTGCAGACTGTTAACAGCAACACTACCGGTATTTAAATTTTGAGCCACAGCTCATTGGCCGCTAATGCAATCTGCAGTGCAATGTAGATAATGATGTGATCGCTACCAAGCGAGTTTAAGATCTATCAGCCTGCGCCATTTACAGTTTGATCCCAGAAATAGGTGTGTATTTTTATATATATATATATATATATATATATACACACACACACACACACTATATAATACAGCAACAAATCAATGACGATTACTCTGAAAAAATACATTATTATTATTAGAAAATAGCTACAAAAAGATTGTATAAACCCTGACATGAACTATACCAATTATTATGGCACTACTAGAAAGTCTAAAGTAGAAATGCTGTTTTTAGTTAGTCACACAAGGCTGTATGACAGTCTGAGAAAACTCTGCAAATACTTAATTGCATCTTTCTGAGTGTGTTTGATGGGTGGAGGGGACAGACATTAGCACGGTGTGGAAAGAAGACGCTAATACCACAGTATAACATTTACCATTTATAACGGGGTGGTAAGATGGATGCCATGCATGCAGGGCTGTGGCTTTTGCTGCTCAGTCTAATTCTTCATGGCAGCGCTTCTACCCACATTTACTCGCAGACCCACAGATAATTCAGTACAAGTGTTCTAATCCATATCATCCCATCGTACGTTACCGCTGACAGCTCAGCATTGGGGCTACAAACACACCGCCTCTAACAACCAGTAAAGTACGGCCACAGTCCGAACCCTCCTCTGCAAAAACGAACATATTACCATTTGTTTCATCTCCATCCATTTTTCTGCTTGGAGACAGAGTTAGTGGAATGAGTTGGACACAAAGCAAACGCTCTAAACTGTGCATGAAGACCTTTTCATGTATGAAAACCAGCCATTCATAAGCAAAAATGTGACTCGTTCCAACCTGGGATGCTTACACAACTGATACAAATATCTTAATTACTGCAGATGTACCTGCAAGCCCTCTTCAACAGCTAAAGTCAATAAATCAGGTTTTAACACGGCAAGGAGCCACAACTCAAAGCATGCTGGAACATTACCTGCATGCTCTGCCAAAAATGTGTCCGGGGTCCTATAGATCAGAGATCGCATAGGGGTGGCGTGAAACAGGGTACAAGGAAGTGAGGAGAACGGAGGGGGGAAGAGCTTTCTGTAAGGTCGCTCAGGTTGACGCAACATTTCTCAGATGCTTATCTCAAGTGCCTGGACTTCCCAAAAACAGCCTTGAGAAAAAAAGAGAGAGGTGTGTGTCTCTGACATTTATTATGATGCAGTGTGTTTACCGTTTCTAGAAAATTGCCTCACCAAACCCGTTTGAGCCCTTGACTTCAGTTTTTTTTTTTTTTTTTCCAGTAGCTGAGATGAGCAAAGGACACCGGTCTCTCTCTCTATCTGAGTATGTGTAGGCGAGACTTCACTATGTGCATATGATCTTGTTTCAGCTTCTAATTTTTGACCCCAACCTTGCCCTCCAGAGCTCGGTCCTCAACCCCACGTTGCATTACCGAACACAAAGTTATATAAAGTGACGTAAGTAGAGCAAAGTGCATGCAGTGCCGTTTCTGCCCTCTGTGGCTCCCAGCCAAACAGATAATGTATATTCAGCCTGTGGTGCAAACTAGGTCTGTATTTGTAAATACCACAACTCCGTACAGTATCAGACTGTTTTTAGAAGCCAGTCTGAACGGAGTGAAATTATGTCTTTTAACAGTGGACAAGTGGAACTAATCCATTTCATTAAAAACAGACAATCAGATTCCAGTCACAGAACAGAGCACTTAGCGCAGACTGGCTTCAAACGGCCACTGACATCAATACTCTCTGTCCCGCAGTAGCGTGAGGAAGCGGGCGGGCTAAAATTGATGCCGTTCACAGTTCATACCCCCTCTACTTTCTGAACTGGTTAACAAGTGTCTTTTTTTCACACATTTTATTGGGCTGGAACAGGCCAGAGAGTGGCCTTTACAGTAATACACTCTAGATCACTGTGCACACACACATACATGTACTGGATATATTTACATATTCACATAACAGGATATGGTATATGAACACAAAAATTACACGTTAAAGACAGGAACAAAGGGATCACACGACAAGATACATTATGATCATCAACTAGACAGCATGTAGGCTAGGTCTGCTCAGCTTACAGTAAATCTAAATGTGAATGAGAAGCATACAACACAGCAGTTCTCAAACCTTCTGACTCAAAGCACCCCTCATCCAAAATGATATCCAAAGGCCTTCCATATTGAATACGATGTTTTCTCTGGTATTTCTGCTGCTTATTTTCAAACTTTTTTATCAACAGAAACCGACAGCCCAAAAGTCCAACCATTTCAACATTAAAGGATAGATAGATAGATAGATAGATAGATAGATAGATAGATAGATAGATAGATAGATAGATAGATAGATAGATAGATAGATAGATAGATAGATAGATAGATAGATAGATAGATAGATAGATAGATAGATAGATAGATAGATAGATAGATAGATAGATAGATAGATAGATAGATAGATAGATAGATAGATAGATAGATAGATAGATAGAAATACAAGGCTGCAAGAATCTTTTCCATGTCACTTGATAACACTGGGCAGGGCGTGGTGACATTGTAAGAGTCACGGTACAGTGAAGAAGACCAGGAAATCCCCTCTGACCTACAGAAAACACACAAACACACATTTACAAAGGCTCCATAAGCTGTCTGGAGCTTCTTACCAGGACAAAAGAGCCTCAATCTGAGGAAATTGCATGAACCTTGACAGACCCAAGCGTAACTATGAGTATATGAAACTGTTGAGAAGAAAATAGAAAAAAATAAGATGACAGCCCCACTCATCAAGAGGGTGTGGAGTGTATCTCACAATACGTCCAACTCTGAGAGGCCAAAGGGGAAATAAGCAGAGGAGCCATGTCAACTTTTCTAATCAATGAATGTGCTTCGTGTGTTTAACGAGGATGAAACAGGACTTTTTGCCTCTGTTGGAAATAAGGCGGCAAATAGATCGAGGGAGACTCAGTGGACAGCGTCGGCCGTGGCACCCTTTTCCCGGCGGTGCCAGATTACATTTCCAACAACAGCTGCCTCCTTTGTCCGCTCGCAGCCAAGCCAAACTGCGCCTAAAATTTCATTTAATCTGCTGCAAAACCTGAGTGTCAGCCACTTAAATGGCAGCTAAAAGCACTACTCTCAGATAACTGACTGACACTTGCTAATAATAGACCCTGGCAACAGGGGAGCCACGGCGGACATTTTGTGTAACCGTAGAGATTCGCCGGGTGCCTGGGAAACAGGGGAGTGGACGGTCCCAGCTCCCCTGATGGGTGGGATCGTCTCACAGGCCGCCTGCAACGTAGCCCCCTAATGCTCCACCCTTCCCCTTGCCCCGATCAGCCAATCCTAAACCAATGACCCAGGTTCTCTCTTTCAGCCCTCAGCCGCCATGCAACAATGGGCCTACATGCTTTTGTCTCCAAGTCTGGGGGGCAAGTAGGAGGCAAGGAGGTGCAATCCAAAAGAAAGAGTGAGGATTTATAGATAGTATAAAAATGTCCTCTTTTCAACTTAAGCCCCCATTTGTCTGAATGAGGACTTGGCTCTCCGGTCACAGGTCCGTCAAGCTGTGACGGTTTGGACCCGGTCAAGGAGCAGAAGATTAGCGCATGGAAGAAGGGGGGAAATTGGAGGAGCAGAAAGGGGGGACAGGTTGAGCAGCTTCTGTGGTACTTTGTCATTACACAAGGTCTCAACACGCCCTATACGTGGGAATCTGAGACAAAGCCTGGCAGGTCAGGGCTGAGCTCAAAGCAACAGAGCACCACGCTAAAACCACTGCTTGTGTGTTTAAGAGCCAAAAACCCAACAGACACATCATCTTGCTCTCTTTCTCTCACATGCAAAGGAGAGAGAGTTTTTATAGAGAGGAGGAAACACCCTTTGACTGAAAAATAAACATAATTCATTGTACTTCGTTGAGGCGACAACATTAAAAAAACCCGTCCCGGTTCAATGGGTTCACAGATGCTGCTCTCTCGGTTTTGTTTTTCACTACCCGTTTTCTGCTTTTCTTTCCTCAGGTGTCGAGAGGTGAAGCCGTCTGGAGTGGACACGTGTGGCAGGAAAACCTCAGCAAGAAACGGCACGAGAGGGACAAAGGGACAAAGGAGGGTTTGACTGACTTTCACATTAGTGAGGTTTCGATGCGTCTATATATACATACAGTTTTGCAATGTTCCTGAACTGAAAGTCACCGTTAGGGTGCGATCATATAAACGAAACTTGCAGATTAGTGAAATTTATCAGGTCCATTGTCCATAATGCAGGAAGAACCCCTTCATCTTATTTAGAGGTCACTTCCAAACTAAGCAGCTTCATCTTGGTCAACACAGTGAATTTTAAACGTTCAAAGTTGAACACACTTTAAAATGATGCAAAATGGAAACGTTTGACTCTCTCACCTCTTATGTTAAATCCCAGATCACGCAGATTCCTATTACAAAGGTGAGTGTGTTACAATTATGTGCCCCTGTAACAATCAGACCTGGCACCATGACACATCTCAAAAGCAACAAGCTCCCTTTTTTCACGTTTGCATAATAGCTCCAAATGAATAACAATCAGCATGAGGGTTTTGAAGTTTAACACACGCGGTTACTGTATTTTTATCACTTTCTATGCACTTTGTCACTTCTAAGTACTCATGCCCATCTCTAACATCTGCTCAAAAGCAGGCTGGAAACAGAGAGATGGACAGAGAGAGTAAGACAGGAGGAAGAGAGCGAGCAGGGGGCTTCTTACAGCCTCTGATGAAGACATAAAGGGGAGTAAATGGAGGGGGTGATTTAGTTTGCTGTGGGAGATTTTCACTTCTGCATTCTTGTCATGTCCAGATGTTCTCCTCCAAATACACGCACGCACACAACAAACAGTGTCCACATGTACTCACTCTGTCTATACAAACACAGTAAACATCAGCGCAGTGACTACTGCATCGATACTAGTGGTCCGAAGATGGATTTTTCTTAGAGAGAATGAGCGATGGTTGATGTAATGCCCACATAAAAAAAAAATGATATGCACACAAAATGCGGAATTCACTTACATAAATGCTCACTATCACTGTTCACTTGCAAAAAACTGATGGGGGGGTTTTTCTTAGTGACTTTTTTTTTAGGGTTTTTTTTGCGTTTGTTGTAAATAAGGGACATACAGTACGATTCAAAATGTTGGGGTTGGTAAAATTTTTTTTATCATTTATTCAGCAAGGATGCATGACTGATCAGATGTTTACATTGTTAATTTATATTTAAGAAAAAATGCTGTCAAAAAATCCTGAAAAAAGTATCATTTTCCACAAAAATATTTTTGTGATAATAAAAAGAAATGTTTTTTTTTGTGAACCAAATCAGCATATCATAATGATTATGTGACACTGAATACTAGAGTGATGCTGAAATGATGCTGAAAGCTTTAGTTTTGAGTTATATAAGATGTTTTAAATTGTTATTATATTTCACAATATTTCTGTTTTTACTGTATTTTTATCAAATACATACAGTCTTATTGAGCATAAAAACTTATTTTAAAAAGATTTTAAAAATTCATACCAACCCCAAACAGTAGTTCATTCGGCGGGCAGTAAATCTGCAAACAGAAAATGTTTATTACTCATTGACAAGGCTTTTGAAAATAACCCAAATGTGATCTCACTAATTAATACTGCTCTTTTTGTAAGATCTAAAGTCTTACAATCAAGTTTAAATATAGTACTTTAGACGTTCAGGAAGCACAGTGGTGAACCTGTTAAGCAAAACGACCTCTGTCATCTCCACCGAGAGCGACGCATTTCGGACTAGGCCATGACAGCGGCGGGCCGCTCGGCGCACGCTGACGAGCGAGGGGAATTGTGCGCCGATTACTGGCAGCTTGCCTTTCTGACTTGGCAGCTAGTGGTCACTGGGGGAGGAGGACATGATAGAGGCAGGATTTAGCCTCCGCTATACACACAGGGTAATGAGAGCCAGTCAGCGTGGATTTATGTGCATTAGGAGGCACTGGGCAACCCAGCCTGTGATACATTTATTTGGCTTTATTAGCCTTGTGGCATATACGTATTGGAGGTAATTTGGTTAAGGCTGTTAGGTCCATTATGCAGCGAGCATCGTCGGAGGAGGGAAAGGGCTGTTATTAGTGGTTATCAGATGAGAATTATGAATGATAACGGAGGCCCATCTCTAATTTGTGTGGCTAAGGTCTCCATTTAAATTATGCATACAGTGCAAAGCCGATAAACAGCGGGGCATCTGTGCAGGGATGCGGCCGTTCCTGTGGTCAGGAGAATACTCTGGTCTCTGCTTTAAAATAAACACACGCACTAACAAACGCACACAAATACCCACAGAAAATCAATCCTGAACTGTGCTCGCTCTTTAGTCTATAACAGCTCTCTGCGTGCTCCCGTTTGCAGTGGCCTGGGCTTTATCTACGGCCTGCTGGTCAGCTGTGTGTGGCTGCGTTGTGATGCTGGGGTCACCCTATTCTGAAGGTCAGCGGGGACGCGGATCAGTTTATTGACCGCCAGCTGAATGCACAGCTCACCCCGGCGGACTGCTCTTACAGTTTACTCTCTCTTCCTGTGACACGCTCACCTCCACCGGGGCATGTGGACACTCAGTGTCACAGAGTAAAGCTCTTTTGTTCATTTCTGTGTAAAAGATAAATAAATAAAGTGCAAGGGCATGTAAGTCATATGAAGAGTGTTACAGTCCTTTAGTCTGCAAGGCACAGGGGTCACCTGAGAATTCGGCTCTCTGCTGCTAACAGGTCCCGCACAGCACTGCCTGGTCAAGCAGAAACAGACATCTGTGTCTGGTCACAGGGACCATGAGAGGAAAACACGAAGACAAAACAGGAGAGGGGATGAGAGAAAGACAAAGAGGGCAAAAGGTTGCTGCACATAGAAAGAGTCATCATGAATCAAACATGCTAAAACAATAATAATAATATTAATAAATAAAATAAAATATAAAAGATGGCTCAATAAAAGGCCTAAATTAAAAAAAGTACTCAAAAATAATATTAAAAATACATACTATGTAGAAATAAATATTTGTATATTTAAACAGAATTGGAATATTGTAATGTTTACAAATGGATTTTTTTTTTCAGATGCATTTATCCAAAGCAACTTCATAAAACATTATTATATTTATTATTATAATCAATATATTATAATATGTCACAATAAATAGATATTTTGTGCTGAACTTTAAGAGGCTGACTCATCACATTATAATTTCACTTTATCACAATTAACTGAAGCTTATCAGCTAAGTAAAAAATCCATAATTGATA